ATACTATCAATGTGTACCTTATACAAGTCTCCTGAACCAATGATTTGCTTTAAAAAACTCGTTTGTGAAGAACTGTAAAAAATTAAACGATTGTTTTTTGTTTTTACTCAAATGTATTAAGCTAAAAAAAAACTTTTACAATGAATCTTTCTTCCATTAAGAGGCCCGACACGGCCAGATGGTTGCGATCGACCCACAATTTGAGGGTCGTGGGTTCGAATCCCCGTTCCACCAAACATGCTCGCCCTTTCAGCCATGGGGGGCGTTATAAAGTGATGGTCAATCCCACTATTCGTTGGTAAAAGAAGTAGCCCAAGAGTTGGCGGTGGGTGGTGATGACTAGCTTCCTTCTCTCTAGTCTTAAACTGCTAAATTAGGGACGGCTAGTGCAAATAGCTCTCGTGTAGCTTTGCGCGAAATTCATAACAAATAATCTGCCATTAGGATGTTTATATCATCGCAAAAAAATACTTTTTAGAAAATGAAAGAAAGGTATTTTCCCTACATGAATGTGAACTTAGTAAGGCTTAATGTTTATGGTATATAATTGTGCTGGAAATTCCATGGTGTCGACATCAATACAACAAACCTGAATAGTTGTAATCCAAATGTTCCAAAATTTGATTATAGTTTGTATCCACCGGTAATCTTTATTTGGAAATCGTACACTGGAAATGTTGTGCTATGTATAAAGCTATTTTATCACTTATATTTTTAACATAGAAAGTTTCTCCAGAAGTATCAAGTAGTCACGACAAATGTCTATTATCCAATCAACCGAAATTTAACGAAAGTTAAATTTGATTATTCGTTAGAGAGCAACTTTGGCAGAAAAAGAGGCGTTGACGCTTAAAAAACAGATCGAGACGGCAAAACAATCATTATACCAGACTAATACTATATACCAGGACTCGGGCATGGACAAAAGTGGAAAGTCGATTTCTTATTCGTCCGTGGAACTTGAACTTGCTGCTAAAGATAAAGAAGTGAGTAATGTTGCTCCATCTAGCGGTTAAAAAGAACACTACGTAAAACAGTGTGAAGCCTTGCGAAAGTAAGTTAACCAGAACACTTACCACTCTTTTCGTAATTCACGGAGTTCTAACTTTATCCCTTTTTTTATCTCTTACAGGTTTATATATCTTTTGAATATAAACATTGTTTAACTGGGTGTAACACACGCCGTTTAGAGAAGATTCATAGGTGTTTTAGTTAACGAAGTAAATTCTAGACAAGAAAAGTATAATATTAAATTATTTCTTTTCCGATAGAGGTCGTAATGGTTTTGATTGTAAGGTGTTAAATCAGTTTTGTTTTCGGTTGTTCAGACATTTAATTTTTAGAATGAACTAAACATTGTGCCATCAAAAAATGTGTTGTAAAAATAGCTAATCCACAAGTTCCACATTTGATCGATCTGATTGGTAACGTATGTAGTTTCGAGTAACGTAAAACACTGACAAAAAAGAAACAGTCATACAGCCACATTACATTTACCAGCAAAATAATTTGGTTACTGTAGAACTGATGGGCAATAATAAGCAATTCAAAACTTCAATTGTTGACCGAAGAAAAACAGACGAGAAACTACGAGATTACACAAAGAAAACACGCGACAGATTACGTAAACAACTTACTTGACAAGCACTTGTTTCCTTCAGCTTGTTAATAGTAGAGTGTAACTTTTGAACATCTCTTACTAACTGCGAAATCTAAAGAAAAAATGTATTTTGAATTTAATAAAAAAAGTCAAGATTATAAAGTCATAGATAGGTATTAATCTGTGAACAGTGTTTATTGACTGTACGACCATAATTTAACCTAGATTTACTGAAATTTGTGAATAACAAACAGTCAATATTTAAATATTCTCTAACGCCGAAATACAAAAATCAACAAAAACGTAAGCATTATTAAGTAAAACAGCAAATGAACAAATTAGGAGATGCAATGCTGGCTTGTCGTTCCAGGACAGCGCGTGCAAAATGCGCCTTAACCAATCATGAATTCTGGTAACGAGGCAAACGAAACATGTAGACATCCAGCAACAAATCTAATACAGAAATTCTGTTACGTTTAATGTTCCAGAATATGTTAACTTCTTCTCTTTACGTCTATGACATCATCTTTTTAAAATTCTGTAGTTTGTAGACTCAGGTGGCCAGCTGGTTAGCGTGCAAAGACCGTTAATACGAGGGTTTATGGTTCTCGTCTCGTTGCCATAAAAAAATCCTCATCACGCACTTAGGGACATTGGGTGCGTTATAAGAGTAACGGTCAAAACCCACTATTTGATCAGACAAGGGCTGTTGATGGGGGTGCTGTTGAATATCTTGTCTCTAAGTTTCAAAATAAGTACTCCTATGGGCAAATGTCCCTTGATTAGCTTTGCACAAACGTCCTGAAACAAACAAGCAAGCCGGAATTTTGATTAGCTTTGCACAAACGTCCTGAAACAAACATGCAAGCCAGGGGACTTTCTAACGTTATCACCAGCATTAAATTCATTGTAAAATATTTTTAACTAAGGGTGACTTGTTTCAATGTAGATATACTGAATAAAACGTTACTGTTCGATGTTTAATGGGGTTTGGGGAGGGGAGGGGATGTTTCATTGTTGTTGATTTTTTTTAAATATAAACTTCCCACCAGTTTAAGTCTTTAGTTATATTTTCCAAATGTTTTTCTTGATTGACAAAGAATACTTTATCTACCAGATTACTCAACTTGAAGAAATGGTAGCGGACAAAAATGAAACCATCCACCTGTTGGAAAACAAGCTAACTAAACAGAAAGATTACGAAGTGATGAAGAAAGAACTCGAGTAGGAATTCTTTGATCTTTTATATGCAAATCATATCATACTGGAGTCACTGATTGTGTTACGTGTTTGTGTACAAATCCTTTAGATATTAGGATAAGTAGCTATGAAAACGAAGAAATCTAGATTTTGCTACTAATTTCTAGTTATTGGTCACTTAATGTACTCCGACACTGCTAATGGTTTGATATGTAAGTTAGATTTCTTACGTTGTTATAAATGAAATTAAACCTTGCATGACATCTAAAAAAAAACTACTAAAAAAAAGCTTAAGTTTCCACGGTATTCTTCTCCCAGACTTATGTTTGTAGCTTATGAACAGGTTAACTTATCTGTCATTTTACTTGTAACTTTACTTATTAACAAACAATACCGGACTTTAAAAATAATGCTATAAGTGTGGACATGGGCCACCCCTCTTCCGTTAATCTGAGCCTCAACACACGACACGCGACTTTTGTTTGAAGGTCGGCTTATTTAGGCGGTAAAATGAAACTGTCTGTTAAACTCATACCGTTCGTTATTTATTTAATTTCTATATTTTTTTTGGGGGGGGGACATCTGAATTCCTGTGCCAAATTTTGTCATAACAACTTTTGACACCAGACAGGCGGACAGCTCTAGAATTATAGATTTCTGTGACTGTTCATTAAGAAAGTTTTTATGTGATTAATCTTTTACTCACGTGAATTTAGAAAATGAAATTACAATCCGAAAAAAATTACCAAATCTTACATCGTTAATAATTGTTTTATCGGTAAGCCACTCATATATATAAACATTGCTCTTTTGTCAAACTTAAGAGGTCATCGTTTTTACAAGATTTAATAACATATATTACACAGTATGTTAAAGATAAGCGAACTCTCCAATCATCTTAGTCCAGAAAACAACAACGAGGGGAAAGAAGACAACGACGCAGTTGAACCACGAGATCTCTTATTGTCAGAGAAAAACAAGAATTCGGGATCCACGTGCAATACAACACGCACTGACTTGTCTGAATCCACGTGCAAAACAACACACACTGATTCGTCTGGTAAGCGTAACAGTTCGTGTATACTGTTGTTCTAATATATATATTCATATACTAGCTGGAGTACCCGTTATGTAAGTTCATGACTAATGAAAGGTTATCTTAGGACATGAAAAGTTGCTTCCCTTATATATGTCATTGTTAAAAACGCCCATAAAAACTGCAAAACACAAAATGTGAAACCGCAAGTTTGTAAGTATCTCCGCATGGACCCAACAAACCTTCATACCAAATTTGGTGAAGATCCATCCACACCCTGCGAAGTAGTTACATGGACAGACAACAGTCATTACTATTATATTTATATAGATGCATACAACAGACAGTACTATTATATTTATATAGATACATACAACAGACAGTACTACTATATTTATATAGATACATACGACAGACAGTACTATTATATTTATATAGATAACATACAACAGACAGTACTATTATATTTATATAAATACATACAACAGACAGTACTATTATATTTATATAGATAAATACAACAGACAGTACTATTATATTTATATAGATACATACAACAGACAGTACTACTATATTTATATAGATACATACAACAGACAG